TCGCTCGATAGACCTTGTGAATGGTGCTCCTCTTACGGAGGAGCAAGCGCGAAAGATTGAGTTTGGCAACGAGACATTGATGTGGATAAGTTTGCTGATGATCGCCGCATGGCAGGCGAACCCGCTTTGCAAGGTGATCATGGAAATACCTGCGGGCTATGGCCCAAAGCAGCCCATTTGCAAGGATGTGTTTCATTCTATTTTTGGGCTTAAGAAAACTGCCCTCTGCAAATGCATGCTTTTTGGGACGCCTTATCGGAAGGAGATAGTCATATACAACAACTTGAAAAGCTGGCATGTAAATGACCTGCCTTATGAGAAGCGCATTTGCACGGCTTCTCATAGTTGTGGCTGCTTTCCGCATAGAGAGACGTGCTGCGGTGTAGTGGCTCGCGAGAGTGCTGATTTTGGACTCGCGATGGCAGGTTCGCTCGCACGAGCGGCATACAGGGACCTGCTCGCTATAGACGACTCTCGGGGTAGTATGCAACTAGCGTAGATTCCGATACTCTAGTATAATAAGATCCGGGTTATCGCTAAAAACTCCCATGTGTTCCTGTTGAACAGGCAGTCATCATGGGAGAAAGCACCCGAGCGTGATGATTCACGGGGGCGGCAATAGTGACGCCTTGAGTTGCGCGAAGTCAGCTTGAGTGATGTCCCCATTCAACAGGAGAGTTCCTAGGGTTGCTATCTGTGCTGCTACGCTGTTTGCTGCGGGTGCTGCGGCTGCATTTGCTGCGGTTGCTGCGGCTGCATTTGCTGCGGTTTCATTTGCTGCGGTTGCATGTGCTGCAGGTGATAGCATCAGTGCAGCTGGAGCTGGTGCTGGTGCTGCCAGTGCAAAAAGAGCCTGAAGAGCCTGAGGTGTTTGTGGAGGTGCAAACATGGTCGGATTCTGGCCTTGCGATTGATTCTGGCCTTGCGATTGAGCTGGAGGAGGTCCGCGAGTAGTATCCATGTAATGCTGGGCATGTGCTGCAGCTGCTAGCAGCAGTGCAGCTTCAGCTGGTGCGTGCAAAAGAGCCTGCGGTGTTTGTGGAGGTGCAAACATGGTCGGATTCTGGCCTTGCGATTGACTCTGGCCTTGCGATTGAGCTGGAGGAGGTCCGCGAGTAGTATCCAAGTAATGCTGGTGCTGTAATTTCGCTCTTTCTGCGTTTAGAGCGGCCGCTTCTTTGTTCATTGCTGTTGCTTGCGATATCCCCCATTCGAGTGATTCTTTAGCTTGCTTAGCGCCTTCCTCGAACGATTGTTTGTTGAAACTGTTCGCCTGTGGTTCTCGAGGCTGTTGAAAAGAAAGTACTGCTTGATTTGTTTGTTGGAGTTGTTGTTGGAGTTCTTGGATCTGCCTTGTTCGCTGTTGGTATTCTTTTTGCCGCTCGAGCTTCTCGTGGTCCTCCTCCTTCGGCTTCTTCTCCTTGGGCTCCTTTGCACTGGCAGCTCTAGCTCTTCGCTTGCGCTGCTGCTTTGGTTGTGCCGGCAAACTCTTCGCTTGTGCTGCTTTTCCACCTCCTGTCTCCCAAAATCTTCTAAATTCCTCCTGTGGCTCTTTATATTCTTGTCGGCACATCCTCGGCCGGGGTCGACGTTCTAATAACATGAGGTCGTTCACCTCTTCCGCTTGCTTGAGTTTGCTCTTGTGTTCACCTGGTGGTAAGAATAAGAATAAGAAGAAACTCTTGTGTTCACCTGGTAATTTGCATTCCATTTCGTTAGAGTATGTAGATATGAAAGAGGCGTATCGTGCTTCTCCCAACGCATCTCGTTTTGCTTTAATTTGTTTCGCATTGCTTTTACTCTTCATGGCATAGACGGCTCTCATTTTACCTATAAGTCAGAAATCTAATATGTATAAGATAATAAAACATGCATTCTTTTGATTTCAACATTGTTCTTAATTCCTCTAATATTTTATGGCCTGTTGTTGTCCAGTCTGGAAAGCAGCGCCGAGTGGAGTGGTTCTCCAAGCTATGCCAGTTGACGATGGCAAATTCCCGGGACTCTTTCACCTGCACGAGCAGATGCGTTTTGTGGGGACTGTCAAATATGAGCCCTTCTTCATCTACCAGTACGAACAAGATTACGCATGCGCCCAAGACCCGAAACTGATGGATATCGCCCTGTGCGCATCGCAAGCGCCGGCCGTGCGCATTACACGCAGAAGCATTTTTATTGAACCAGCCATCCATGACCTGGAGTGTCAGCTTAGTGGAGTCCCCTGCGTACGAATTAATGCAATTCGTGTTGAGTTGTACGCAGCGTCCCATGCCTCCGAAACCTATTTTTAGGTCCTCCGCCTCCTGGTGCACGCATGAAAACTCGTCCTTCAGGTCTTTTATGAAGTCAGCAGGTAAAGCTGGAGCGATTGCGCTGCTTTGGCCAGTAGTCGCACCTGCGTCGAATTGTCTTAATTTGTTTGCTGCGGCTAAACCGTCAGCCGAAATCATCTTAATAGCAGACTCAATTAGTGCCGGAGAACAAAAAGAGTCTTCTATTGGGATGAGTTCTTCTGGCGGTCTTGGTGATCATCCATTCAT